CAGAGGGGTCCGCCAGGGAGACTGGAACTGGCCGACTAAGCGGCGTGAGTGTGGTGCAGTCGCGAAAGAAGGAGCGGGAAGCTCCTGAGTCAAGGGTGAAGGTGTGCAAGACCACAGCAGGCGTAGTACCAGAGAGAGCAGACTCACCAGCACCTGGAGCAGCAGCCTCACCAGCACCTAGAGCAGGAGACACACTAGCACCTAGAGCAGCAGCCTCACCAGCACCGAGAGCAGGAGACGCACGAGCACCTAGAGCAGCAGGCGCTATACTAGGGTCAGGCGGTACGCACAGGTAACAGGCACGGTCAACACTAGTAGGCAATGCATACATGGCAGTGAGAATAGCATCATAGTCAAGAGCAAAGATATCAACCCTCTGTCCAAGCAGCTCCACCCAGGTAGGGAGCTCAGCCTCGTCGCCAAACACGGTACGCCAGGCGTCGCTCAGACGGGCGAAGCAGCGGGACGGTGTGTGACCAAGCGTCCCGCAAGTCTGACCAGTCCTAACACCTGTGCGAATGACGTACGGGCAGCGAACGGTACGCGAAGACCTGCTACACTGAGCGTACCACTCCTGGAGCTGCCGGGGCGTAAGTGTCTCGCGTGGACGCCCCTGCAGCTGCAGCTGGCCACTGCCAGACGCCCCCAACTGACCAGCTCCAGGGCGACTGCTACGACGGCTACCTCGACAGCCCCAAATAGTATACCACTTATCAAGCTGCTGGGGCGTGAGAGACTCGCGGGAACGTCGCTGGAGCTGCATCTGGCCACCTGCTAATAGCAGGAGTAGTAGCAGCAGCTCGGGCAGCTCGGGCAGGCACGGCAGGTAGGCAGACAGGCCGGCAGACAGGCAGGCAGGCCGGCAGGCAGGCAGGCAGGCAGACAGGTAGGCCGGCAGGCAGGTAGGCAGGCAGGCAGGCAGGCAGGCAGGCCGACAGGCAGGCCGGCAGGCAGACAGGCCGGCAGGCAGACAGGCAGGCAGGCAGGCAGGCAGGCAGACAGGCAGGCCGGCAGGCAGGCAGGCCGGCAGGCAGGCAGGCAGACAGGCAGGCCGGCTGGCAGACAGGCAGGCAGGCCGGCAGGCAGGCAGGCAGGCAGGTGCTCACCAAAGGCTGGAAAGGGCACGCGCTCGGCGGGCGGCGGCCGGGTAGGCGTACGACGGCGGCGACTGCAGGGCCGCAACAGCGGCTGCAGAGTAGGGCCGCGGCAGCTGCAGGGCGGGACCGCTTCAGCGGCAGTCGCAGGGTGGGGCCGCGTCAGCGGCAGGTCGGGGTCGCGGCAGCTGCAGGGCGGGGCCGCATCAGCGGCAGGTCGGGGCCGTGGCAGCGGCAGGTTGGGGCCGTTGCAGCTGCAGGGCGGGGCCGCATCAGCGGCAGGTCAGGGCCGAGGCAGCAGAGGGCCGCGGGCGGCTCGGCGCAGGCTGCGCGGACAGCGCGCTGGGCTGCTGCAGGCCGCGCGTGAGTCGCGCGAGGCAGTAGCGGGCCGCGCGCGGCTCGGCGCGGGCTGCTGCGGGCCGCGCGAGGCAGTAGCGGGCCGCGCGCGGCTCGGCGCGGGCTGCGTGGGCTCGGCGCGGGCTGCGCGCGGCAGCAGCGGGCTGCGCGCGGCTCGGCGCGGGCTGCGCGGGCTCGGCGCGGGCTGCGCGCGGCAGCAGCGGGCTGCGCGCGGCTCGGCGCGGGCTGCGCGGGCTCGGTGCGGGCAGCGCGCGGCAGCAGTGGGCTGCGCGCGGCTCGGCGCGGGCTGCGCGGGCTCGGTGCGGGCAGCGCGCGGCAGCAGCGGGCTGCGCGCGGCTCGGCGCGGGCTGCGCGGGCTCGGTGCGGGCAGCGCGCGGCAGCAGGGGGCCTGACGGGCCTGTAGGGGCGGTTCGCGGGCCTGAAGGGCCTGTAGGGGCGGCGCGCGAGCCTAGGGCAGCAGGAGGCAGCGCTAGGGCTGCTGGACGGCGCACGTAGTGCAGCACGTCACAAGGCAAGGCAAGGCAGGCAGGTACGTGGGGTAGCGCGGTAACCGCAGCGGTAGGTGGGCCCGGAAAAAACGGTCCTAAGTACCTTAGTGCTCTGAAACCATTAGAATCTAGCAGCAGGAAATGAGTGAACTAGCAGCATGCAGGAGTACAAGTAGTAAACCCTAATTGGGTTGTACCCCATATGGGCTACCCCACTACAGCCTAGACAATATGCAGCATATATGTTTGACAGTAGCTAGTTTCTGACTGTTCATAATTCGAAGTATCACAAATTGTCACAGTGATGCTATCAATGTATCAATTAGTCACAAAAACTGTTTTAGAAGCAGCACAATTAATCACAATTGTGACACTGTTTCTGGACAAGTCTACATCGCGATGTACCCTTACACTTCCAGTCCAAAATACTGTAGTGCTGAACAGAAGAATAACGCTGTACACACATTCACAAGCAGCACACGAGGACACAAGCTGCAAAACACTATCCCCCCCTGCATCCCAACAAAAAACAATTCACCAACACTTTGCTTCCACACCTTCAGTTGTCGCTGGAGATACGGTATGCTCCCTTAAACATTGTCCTCGTTCTCAGAAGACATTACCCAATCAAATAGATGAAGGAACACGTACCGGTATGATTAATCGATTTTAGGATTATTCTTTCTGGGATAGGATGTAATTTGATGGGATAAAAGCACTGCTAAAGTTGTAAGGGTACATTCCGCTTTATGTCATATCAAGACAGAGGGTCACAAACAAATTTGTGACTAATTGTGATGTACCAAATTGAATTTGTTGTTAAGATAGTAGTTATATTGAAGGAGCCATAGCTGGGGTTTACCTAGCTAGGCAAGAGAGAAATGAGCAAAGGAGGGGTTTCACTAGCAAGCAGGAGGATACATATAGGAAACCCTAAGGGGTTGTACTCGCTATAGAGTACCCCACTGCAGGCTAGAGAATAATAACATTCTGACACACCCCCATAGTCAAAGTGGGGTATAATCAGCAGAGCAAGCAGTCATAGAGCAGGTTCACAAGGGCAAGCAAAGCTAGAGGCAGTCACACAGGGCAAGTGAGGAGGAGGAGAGACTGTGAGAGGAGAAGAGATGGGAGGCGACTGCTGAAGCTGCAGACACTCAGGCCACAGGAGCAGCTGGCTCAGTTGCTACCGGAGCAAGGGCCCCGGACTACAGGAGTAACAGGCTCAGACAGGAGCAACGGACCCACGGGCGACAGGCGCAGCAGGCTCTCTGGGCTACCAGCGGCAAGGGCCCCGGACTACAGGCGCTGCGGACGACAAGACTGCTAACTCCACTCAACCTCCCCCAACTTTCGCACCCCCTTTCACACACCCCTTGCTGCACCCCTAGCTCCACTCCCACGTCACCCCCCTAGCACCACTCCTTCGGCTCCCACACACCCACCCCCCTCAGCAACAGTTGCAGTAGTGGGAGACGGAGGAGGAGGAGGAGTAGGGGACGGCGCACACACCCTGCACCCCCATAACCGCCACCCCCACACTCGCCACCCCAAAACCCTAAAACGGGTGACACGGGGCAGGAGCACGGGGGACGGCGTGGGGGACGGCTCGGGAGACCGCGTGCGGCACTGGGGCAGGCTGCCCGGGCCGCGCGCGGGCCTGGCGCATCCCGTACGGGCCGCTCGCGGGCCTGGCGCACGCCGTACGGGCCGCGCGCGGGCCTGGCGCAGCCCGTACGGGCCGCGCGCGGGCCTGGCGCAGCCCGTACGGGCCGCGCGCGGGCCTGGCGCAGCCCGTACGGGCCGCGCGCGGGCCTGGCGCAGGTCGCGCGGGCCGCGTCGGGCGACGGGGGGCGACGCGCGGGTCCGCGGGCTCCGTGACGGGCGACCGGGCGGTCGACAGGAGGGGGGGAAGCGCGGGTCCCCGGGGTGACGCACGAGGGAGGAAACCGCCGCGCGCCTCGGGGCCACGGCGGGCAGAAAACCGCCGCGCGCCCCGAGCGCACGGCGGGATGAAAAAACGAACATCGCGCGCCACGGGACGCGCGACACACAGGAAGGCAGCGGAAGCAGGCGGGCCCACAGGCCAGGAGCGTAACCGCTCTGATAGCATGTTAAGATAGTAGTTATAATGAAGGAGCCATAGCTAGGGTTTACCTAGCTAGGCAAGAGAGAAATGAGCAAAGGAGGGGTTTCACTAGCAAGCAGGAGGATACATATAGGAAACCCTAAGGGGTTGTACTCGCTATAGAGTACCCCACTGCAGGCTAGAGAATAATAACATTGTTAATGTATCACAATTACTCACGGACGTTGTTTCAATTGTGACACTATCTTTCTGGGCATGTCTACAGCGGAACGTACCCTAAAGCTTCCAGTCCAAAATACTGTAGTGATGAACAGAAAAATGACACTGTACACACTTTCAATTCTCCTCAATTCTCTTCTACCACTCCAATTTAAGACAATGCACGAATTGTTACCGTATCGCCCCGGATATAACCGCAGGCCTATGTTAAGCGCATGCGCTTCTATCTGGAGCAATGCGCTTATGGCTAATCCTCAATTATAAGCGCACCCCTTGTAAAACCTTGATTTATTAAAAGCGCATCCTAATTTTAAATTTAAAAACGTGTCAAATTACTGTAACGATTTTCACTTCAGCAGGCTGATACTTTTCAAATTCGGTTCTGTCCGAACCCTGCACAGGCTGCGAGTCCAGTCAGCATGAGCTGTCAGGGGCACCCTCTGAGTCACATCGCGCGCGATGCTGTCAGCTGTCAGCATTTTTGCCATCGCGCGCGAAAATTTCACTCAAATCGACTCGACTGAAATGGCAGGCACGAGATGTACAGTTTGGTGTCTGGAAATTGTAATTTCATATTTGTCATTTTATAAGCGCATGCGCTTATAATTTTGACTCAATTATAAGCGCACCCCCCTAAAAAACACTGATTTATTATAAGCGCACCTGCGCTTTTATCCGGGGTAATATGGTAGAACCTCCCAACAGGAACAGCTATTCTGCTCCAGCTAAGCACTTGGTTGCCATATGTAGAGCTTAGACGGAAGAACCTCCCGAAGGAGATACAGGGCCGACAAGCAGTGGTTCTTCTGTCTCATCCACCATTTGAACAGCTGGGGGAGGTGAAAGGTGGACAGCAATGGAAAGGGAGACAACAGGGTGGGTGGGCAAAAGGACAAGTACAGTACTAGAGTTGCGACATAAACAGTGCAGTAACAGTAAGCAAACGAAGTGTCAGCGAAACAGACATCCACGATTCTCCCAGAACCAGACCATGTGAGGAAACTCACCCCATGTCGAAAGAAGCGCAATGATAAGCATGCTGACGCCAGTGATAAAGAAGTCCACGCCCACGAGCAGCCCTGCCAGTCGCACAAAGTCCTCACTTGGCTCCTTTGGCCCCTCTGGCTGCGGTGGCTGTGCTAACACCACGAAGCCGAGAGCAATTGCGATCATGCCGGAGAGCAGCACCATGGGCCACGAGGAGATGCTGCGCAGCGACACACCCAGTGCGCACTTGAACACGCCCTGGGGGAAATGTGGGGTGAGCGTAGAGAGGAAAGTGGAGGAGAAATTTCAAACTGGCCTTTCTGGAGCAAAGGCCTTTGTGCATCTGTCCTGTTAACCTTTGGCTGGGCGGAGAGGTGGAGCCACCCACTGATAAGTTGGTACAAGCAGGTTACCTGAGCTAAGAACCAGCCGGCGAGGATAAACAGGAGAGCATTTGGGCCTTGTGCAAGGCCCGTGCCGGCGACGAGGGCGAACCCGATGGCGAAGTGAATGAGGCCGAGGAAGAGCAGTGCGATTGTGCCAGGTGCACCACAGAGGAAGAGGAAGTGCAGAAAGGTGACCACTCCGCCCACCAGCAGCACCCATCCTGCACGCACAGGGGAGAAAGGCCGCAGAGAGAAGCACTTGAAGTAGGTAAGGGCTATTGATAGAGGTTGCAACATGAAGAGCAAAGAAAGGCTGCCGGACATGAAAAAGAGGTCTGGACTGGGAAAGGCATAAGCATGTGACAAAAGGTCACGTCAGATGAATGGACATGAAGGTGGGCCAATTTAAGAAGGTAACATGCAGAGGAGGACGTGGGGGGTGCAGTACCAAGAGCCTTGATGGCGACACCCAAGGTGAGCGTAAAGATGAGAGGCAAGAGAATAGCCACAAGCCCTGCTGCGACAAACACTGCAAGAATAAGGAAAGAACAGGGGTTAAGAAATTAGGGAGGTTCACCAGAAAGGAGATGGCAAAGACGGTAAAGGCAAACTGAAGGGAGCACTTGCATGCAAGTGACCATGGCAACTCTGCAGGCGAGGCAGCCAAAGCAACAACCTCAATGCTCAGTTCCTCATGATAACCTCTTTATTCTACAAGCCACGAGAAATCAAGGCGAGCGTTTCATAGATTTTCCGGAATAAGCTTTCTTTCACATCCAAGACAGGCTGCAGCTAGCTGGTCAATCACAAGCAACCATAGCTTTAGAATTTGTGTCCAACGGGGAAAAACCGAGGAAAAGGCGTGAACACGCAAGGGTGCAGCTCATGCATGCATGCATGGCAAGCGCGCAGCACTCACGCGCGCCGTAGAGCGAGTTGTACATGGAGAGGCGCTCGAGGTGCTCCATGGAGATCTGCCCCGAAAGCGGCCGCACGGGGATCACGAAGTGGTACACGCCGTCCGAGCCGCTGCGCATCGCGGGCGCCATGCCGCGCTCGCTGATTCCCGACGCCGCTGCCATGGCTTCTTGCTCAGCTGCTAACTCGAGATTCTTCTCTTGAGAGTGTTCCTACTAGACTCGAGAGATGAATCAGCGGCCAACTGCGACACTGCGCTTCTGCAATCTAATCACCCGCGAAAGCAACGAGCGCAGAAAGATCCAAAGACCTAGGCAAGAAGCTCGGGGGATTGGGGAGGTAAGCCGAAGAATCGAATACGAGCGTGCCCAGACCTGAAGATCGCCGAAACAGGAGGGAGGAAAAAAAGAGCAAGGTGCGCGAGAACAGCAGCTGGATCACTCGACGCCCCAGGCGCGGTGAGACAGACATCTGTGAGCTGGCTGATGCAGGTGGATGGGCGAGTCGTCCACGGGAGAGAGCAGAACCGCGCGTCTGCCTCCTCACAGAAACGCCTGACAGAGGGAGAAGCGGCAGAGAAAACGAGCCTGACATGGTGTGGTGATGGCTGATGTTTTGCGGCACGGGGTGGGTGTGACCACGTGGAACGCCATTCCAAGTCGCTAGGCTGGCACATCGCCCTGGACCAGCATGCACCACCGCGCCGCTGTAGCTCGCCATCTATTCCAACGTGTCTCCAAGAGTTGCAATGCGGTCCGATTCTAGTATGTCGCATGTCATGCGCGTGTTGTGCGACCAACTCGAGGAATCATAGGGAAACGAATGCTTGTTCTCTCGTGACCGTCAGACATCGTCTCACTAAAGAACAGTCGCTCCAATTTTCGTTCTACTCAGTCCATGCAGCAGACAGTGAGTCCACGCGGCAGCTGGTGACGGGTTTTAAAGCCCAAGACCTGAATCACAAAAAGTAGTAGGCAAACTGTGCACAGTTTGCCTACCGAACCCAGAGTTGACCTCCCGAGCCAAGCTGGTTACCAGAAAACATCCCGCAACAAAACTCAGAGTCGTGGAGCAGAAGAGGTTTGGTTGGCGAGAGCCCCAACCACACCCCCAGCAAGAACAAGGGCTCGGAATGTTCACAGTTTGCAAAAATGGTAATTCAGGCCGTGCTTCTACCGATAGTACGCGAGCTCCTCATGCGAAGAGAGAATAAAGCATAGGCCATGAGCACTTCCGCCTTGATTCCTAGCCATCATACGGCTTATTTAGAACTCCAGACGTATCTATCCCACGGCCGATATAGAGACCTCGATTACTTTTCTGGTCGTAGCTTATCGGCGTGACAGCAAGGCGAGGCCATATCACGTTTCCGCACTCGGTCGCCCTGGCATCGCCCTTCCGCAAATATCGCATTTGGCCTTATCGTCTTCCGCGTCCCCCACGCTTCCCCCAACCGTCTCTTGCATACCCCCCACGCACACGCCCACGCTTTCCCTCATCTGAACCCTTTTGAGTGAACGCTCTCGCCCTGCCCTATCTACGAGTATGATCTATGCATCATACCATGAGTGCTATCTCAAACTGTGCACGGTATGGTATGCACGGGCTTTTCTGGTTGTGGGAAGGACCCCACCCATCATGGGAAGCGAGAAACTTTTGTCGCAAGTTGTTTCGCGAGTTGAAAGTCTCTCGCAACCCAACCGAACCTCTCCGTGCCTGCCTCCCGAACCTAGTTTTTAGCGTTGACTTCCGTTGAGTAATTCAGGTCTTGGGCTTTAAGTTTTAAGTTTTAAGTTTTTATTATGGTCGTAACCGCGTACAGTACAACACCACAAGCATGACAAAAGCCAAGGCCTAGAAGACCTACGCTAAAACAGCATTACTTGTCTATCAAAGATAGAATGAAGGCCAAGGCCTTAATCGGGTTGTACAGCTAGAGAGAGTTACCCTTCTAGGGGGGATGAAATGTGTCGTTCAGAAGCCAAGATTCACTCAGAGCTGGATGAAGCTGCGGCGTCCCATCAGGCGCAAAATTGAGGAGCCGAAGTGCAGCAGCGGCTTTGACACGGTTGTTAGTGGCGCGTTTCTTCTTGTCAGACCATTTGGACCGGCGGCTGAAGTAGATCTTGCACGAGGTCAGGAAGAGCGCTAAGATTCGGTGGAGCGTCTCAATCCGAGAGTATGTCGTCTGTTCGTAGAAAGCTGAGCATCTGTCTCTCCAAAGAGTTGTGGCTGCCGCGCCAATGAGTAGGCACCATGGAGCAATGAGGCTGGACGGATGTGGCAACGGGAAGAAGACTGCTGCAGATTCGATCGAAGTGTTCAGGTGACGAGAGGCAACTTGTTGAATGGCCTCGACAACAGCAGGGGCATGGCCGCAATCGAAGAACATATGCGGCAGATCCTCAATCATAGGAGGCCCACAGCGGGGGCATGCGCCGCCCGTGGCCGTGAACCGGTATCTGGATCCAGACGGCAGGGTGAGGGTGAAGAGGCGGAACAGAATGTCGCGGTGTCTAGAGGGTTGGTCCTTGAGAAAAGAATGTTGATAACCTGGGAGGAAAGGGATGGGCTCTCGCACAATGACGTTCCATCGTTCCAAGTGATTGAGGGGTTGGGGCTGATTCAGCAGGTTCCTGATATCCGCGAGAGAGGGAGAAGGTGCCGGCGAGGAGTTCATGTCGCGAGCCGAGAGCGGGGCCGGAGTCGAAAGGACCTGCGAGCCAGCGTCCTTTGACGTAGACGGGAATCACGTCCTTGAACGCGATGGTGCAGACTCCGACGCACTCCTCCGCCACCTGTCTTCCTTGGATAACCTGATGTATGTTGACACGTGCTTTGAGCCCGGGGAGGAGAGAAGAAACGCGAAAGATACGGCTGGGGAGGAAGGTTTTGGTGAACTCAAGAGCCCAGTCGTCAACCGCGAGGTAGTTTTTACTCGGGGAAAATCTCCTGAGAGTGGCCCACCAGCTAATAGGAATGGCATCGAAGATGCTTAGGATGAGCGAGCGACTGCCTGGGTAGATGGAAGGGGGGAACTTCTCGAAGATCTCTTCTTCTTCCATCCGCCTTGCACCCAGCCGTGTTGGGATGAGCAGGTTCCCTAAGCGGATTTGGTCAGAAAGCAGGAAGAGCTCGTTCTTGACGCGGCCGAAGGGTACATTTGGCTCTTTGCTGATGAATCTGTTAAAAGCGATAGGTTCAGCCATGAGGCTCCAGGGGTCAAGCCGAGGTGACTTCACGGCTGACGGGAGTGGTAAGATGGCTTCCAGCTCTGCACGGAACCGACTTGGGATCTGAGGGGGGAGAAACTTGATGATGGAGGGGTGAGCCAGATAACAGTGCAAACCAAACGGGACGGGGACGCAGAAAAGGGCGATGTCCTCGTAAGGAGTGGCACGGAAGCGCCGCACGGCACGTTGGATACTTAACGCGCGAATGTGCGCCGACGGCTCGGGCGCTCCGACTCCACCATGCTTTTTCTTGTTGTACAGAATCTTTTTGGGGATTCATCTTGTCGCCAGCCCATGCTCCTTGTATTGGGAGTTGGAGAGGAAGATGCCAATAACACGATCAATCGTGGTGATGATAGGGGCGGGGGGGGGTTGGAATCTGGCACCATAAGCGTAGAGGGAAGAGAGTCGTTCTGTTGACAGCAGAGACCGACAGGTGGTGGTGGCCTTGCATTGTGCCAGGGCAGCTGGTGTCAAATGTTGGTAGCCTGTAGTGAGATGTGTCTTTGGGGGTACGTATGTTAGGGTTTGCTACTTGTACCCCAACCACCATCAATGAAACAACACTTCCGATCTTGAGATGGTATCACCTAGGTTAGGATCCTGTAGGATCCCGTTCCTCCCGACCTCGTTCGTATCGCCCGAGCCTGTCTCCCTCTCTCGTATTACTTACGCACGTCTTGCCCGAGCCTAGCGCCGGCCCGCTCTCGTCCCGTTCCTTCGTTACCGCCCGTTCCGCCGATCCCCTACTCGAGTAGCGTAGCGACCTTCCTCCCCCCTGCTGGCCCATCGCGTTTTCCCCCCTCCGAGGCCCGTCGAGTCGCGTTTTTTTCCCCCCGCTGCCCGTCGAGTCGCGTTTTTCCCCCCGCTGCCCGTCGAGTCGCGTTTCCCCCCTTGCTGCCCGTCGAATCGCGCTCTCCCCGCCCGTCGTCCCGTCGCCCGTCCCCCCCTTACGCGCGCCACCGCTGCGCATTCCCCCGTCGCCCGCCGCAGCCTGCGCCCGTCGCCGCGGCGCCCGCCGTCGCTGCCCGCCGCGGCGCCCGACGTCGCGCCCGCAGCCTGCGCCCGTCGCCGCGGCGCCCGCCTTCGCTGCTCGTCGCGTCGCGCGCGCGACTGCCCTTAGCCCCCGCGCGGCTCCCCCTTAACGCCCGCCCCCGCGCCCGCGCGGCTGCCCTTAGCCCCCGCGCGGCTGCCCCTTAACGTCCGCCCCCGCGCCCGCGCGGCTGCCCTTAGCCCCCGTGCGGCTGCCCCTTAACGCCCCCCCCGTTTAGTTGCGCCTCTACCTCGTTTAGGGTTTCACGCTTCGCCCTTTGCCCGCCCGATTTTCGCCACGCCATCTCGTTTAGGGTTTCCTGCCTCCGCTTTTCCGTCGGTTTTAACGATGGCGACTCCGCGTGTTCTTCGCTTCGACGCTGACGGTAGACCCCTTGACTTTTCGCTCTGGCTTCTGCGCGCTCGCCGTCAGTTGGAGAGTCAGGTCCAGTCAGGCGAGACCCTCTGGGCGCACGCTGCTGGTGCCCTCCCTGCGCCCCCCGACCCTACGCCTTTAGGTCCTGCCCCTGACGACGCCGCTAGAGCTCGCTTCGCTAGCCAGCGCGCTGACCTGACAGCCTGGACGTCGCGTGACGCTGCGGCCTGCATCGCGCTCAGCACCCTTCTCCCCGAGTCTGAGGAGGCTCACTTTGCTCAGGTTCGCACTGCTGCTGAGTACCTGACTGCGATTAAGGCCCGCTACTCCACTCCTGCTGCTGTCTCTCTTGGCCGCCTTTTCCTCCCGTTCCTGTTCCCTGATCTCGCCTCTTTTGAGCGCTCTGCTGACTTGATTGCTCACCTCCGCTCGCTCGACTCTAGTTACCGCGCTGCTTGCACTGAGGCCCAGCTCGCACTGCTTCCTCCTCCCATGGCGATTACTATCTATTTTATCGCCACCA